TAATTTTCTTCATAACTTGTATGATTGATTGTATGGCCCCAGTGAATACTTTTCCTTTGATTATTTTCTCTTTTTCTTTCTTTTTATACTCACATTTTTAAGTATATTCATTTTAAAAAAAGCGTTCTTTTCCTAATAACACTTTTATCAAAACTTAGATGCATTATCCAGGGTTGCAGAATCAAGTGATGAACCTCTAGGCACAGCTACAATAGCATAATCTAGTTGAACTAGTTTGGCAGAATTATGAAAATGACATTTGGTTAGAGAGGTTGCAATTAGAAAGAAATAGATTAAGAGTTCAGGTTGCAGACTTGAAAACAATAAATGATGATTTGGAGATAGAGATTTTGGTATTGCAGAGTACTTTAGAAAATGGGCATGGTTTTTCTTGGGTGGAGTTTGTAGTTATTCTAGTTTTCATTTTTATTTTTCTAATAAATATTTTTAAAATTTTAAATAAACTATTGAATAAAACATTTTAATTGTTCTAAGTTTAATAAAATTATTAACTAAAATTGTCTAAATATAAGAAAAAAATAAATAAATAGATTTATATTCTCTATTGTTTCCTATTTTAATAAACTTTTGAATTTTTCTGAAGATAGCTTATTCAAGCTACTAAAAGAAATATATTGGCTGGAGTAAAGCTGTGAAAGATTCTAGCATTAGAAGACTTGATATGCTCGTTCGGCACACTTCCAACTATTCATGGTTTGGCAAGATTCTAAAGAGTCTATAAGTAGCTTTCGAATTTCCTTGGTAGTTTTAAAATTTTCTTTAAAATCTTCTCAAAGCTTGCCCAAATAGTAACAAGCTTCTAATGTTCGGACTTGCTTTTCTCTTTGGCTTCTCATGTTTCTTTGGCTAGACGAGAAATAATTTCACACATTTGATCCTTCCAACTTGTAATTACAAGAGAGTCGGTACAAAAAGGGATAATCTGGTTCTCCAAAGTAAATTCTTTCATAATTTTTATATAATTTGTATCTGTATTGTTAGGATCCAAGTTAGAAGCCAATCTTGGATCTGGTGCTGGGATGAGAACATAAACTTCATCAGCAATTGGAGTTGGTTCTGAGTTGGAGACAATAATTTCATTAATTGGTTCTGGTTCTGGGTTGGAGATAATAACTTTATTAGCAATTGGTTCTGGTTCTGGGTTGGAAACAATAATTTCATTAGCAATTTTTTGTGGAGAAACGAAATCATTTGAAGTTTGTTCAGTAGTGTAATTATCAAAAAAGTTATTTTAAAAAATGTTTTGTATTTGGTTTTCATTTTCTGTAGAAATTTGTAAAGAGTTTTCATTTTCTGTAGGAATTTGTAAAGAGTTTTCATTTTCTATAGGAATTTGTAAAGGGTTTTTATTTTCTGTAGGAATTTGTAAAGAGGCTACAATATCCATTCCATTTGTTATAATAGCTTGATTTCCTGAGATAACAAGACTATTATTTCATGATAAGGGGTCCTGGTTCCAAGATATAATTAAATCAATAAGTGTAGCTAAAACTTGAGATTGAAATGCAGATAGATTATTCATTTTTTTTAAAAAAAAAGAAGATATTGAAGGATTTGTTTTGTTTGTTTTAGAGGGGGAAAAAGGCAGGGTTTATATATTTTTCAAAAACAAATAACATCTAGCAAGAAATTTAGCAACAGGGCTTGGCAATAGGGCTTGACAATAAGGCTTAACACTGGCTTAACGATAAAGCTTTGCCTATAAGGCTTGAGCTTGAAAATCGAACTTGATGATAGGATAAGAAAATTATTCTGGGCTTGTACTTGATTTCTTCAATTGGTAGAGATACTAGGATGCTTGTTCTCTTCGTTATTGCTTTGGCTTTTCTTCCAGTTTTTTTTTAACTTAGCTTCTTGGCTTTGTCTTGTTGTCGTGGCTTCGGATCAGGTAGAGCATTCTTTTTTGACATTGTCTTTGGTTATTTAAGGCTTGGCGAATATTATTCTAAGTCATTTGTCTTTAGCTTGAGGCTTAATCAAAGAGCTACTTAGCTTTTAGTCCTTTGAATAGGGCTTTTGTTACTTCTTTTCCAGTTAGGATCTACAAGTCTTTTCCTTTTCGGGGCCCTTATATAACTCAGGCTTGGAGGTTTTTTTTTGACTTTGTATCGTCTTATTTTTTTTATTATCTTTTTTTTTTTTTTTTTTTTTTTTTTTTAGGCTTAGCTTTTCTGGTTCTCTTTCTGAGTCAGCTCTAGATCTTTGCTTAGATCTTGAATATAAACGTAGATTTCCGGTAGCTTTGGTTCTGTACGATGTTTGAAGCTTTTGAGAAGTATATTCGTTTATTATTATTTTTTTATTTAGTCTTTTCTGCATTGTTTTAAGTTTTTCTTTCTTTAGGATATTATTCTTAAAACCGTCATCATTTCGAAATCGTCTAGTTCGGCATTGTTCATAGAGTTATAAAATTGTCGCTCATTTTTGGGTTATCATTGTAGATAGAGTTGTGGGCATGGTGACCCAGGGCATGCCTTAAAAACATGCCTAGATGCATGCTCTTGAACCAAAAGGCATGCCCTTATCATATAATAATAAATGAATTAGAGTGCACTAATTGGCTATCTATTTTACTAACTAGCAGATATTTTATCAATTATAATAATAATATAGTAATATATAGCATAGTATATAAGTGTAAGTAAAAAGTTCTAGATAGGATCTTTTTATAATCTCCGCTAATGTTATAAATTTTTTATACTTATATATATCTTTGGAATCTATTGGTATAATTAAATAACAACTAAGATATATTATTTAGTAATTAGCAAAAAGGTTCTCTAGAGACTTTTCATCTACCTGGTATATGTATAGGAGCATGCCCTGGGCACAATAAAAAGGACATTGTCTCAGCCTGAGGCATGCCTCCTGGGGCATGCCTAAAAAATTTCCTATGCTCACAACCCTAGTTGTGGGTGCCGTTATCATAGGTGCAATTTCACAGTTATTTTTTTATTTCTTTTTTTTTGAAAACTGTCATTTTTAGGGATCCTCAAAGTTAAATCAAATCGAATATTTACACATTTGAATTTGATCAAATCGAATAAGCTCTTGATTTAAATTTGATTTGATCAAATCAAATTTAAATCAAATCAAATTTATTTGTAATTTTTATTAAGTATTTTCAAATTAAATTGAATATTTTGTCAATTTGAATTTGATTTGATTTGAAATTTCTGTATTTGAATTTGATTTGAGATCAAATATTTGATCAAATCAAATCAAATCAAATTGAATTGCAGAACCCTAGTTGTTTTGTTGGAGTTGAGTATCCTTTTTGAATATTGTTTTTGGTTTCATTGTAGTTTCTAATATCCTTGTATTAGTATTAGTAAGTTGCGTTTTACTATTGTTATTTTCTTCCGGCTTGATATATGTAGAGGCTATGTCTTGAATTCAAAAGGACATAGGCTAGTGGAGTGATGTATCTTTTTTATTCCTTTTTTTTTTTTTTTTTTAATTGAGGTTCTAGTTGTCTAAGGCAAGGATTTTGGAATTGTTCAAGTTTTTTTTTTTTTTTAAGTCTTCATTCTATTTTACTAATAAGATTTCTGTTTTTTTTTGTTTTTTTTTTAGATGATCGGTGTTGTCTCAATTGGAGTCTTGAGATTTGAGTAAATATAGAAACATGTATATCCAATATCCTACTTTATCTGCTATTAAGGGCTTTAATAGCACAGACAGGTCAAAGTAATACTTAAAGTTAGTTTGAGACATGAGAAAGTCAAAGCTTGTATTGCTTGAAAACTTGACAAAGAAGATTACACAAAATAGAACACAGGAACTTTGCGGAAGCAATGTATTTTTTTTTTCATTTTTTTTTTAGTTTTTTTTTTTTTTTTTGAAATGTTGTGTTCTCGGATCTTGGAATTAACTTTTATGGCCCACGCAGAATAAGATTTCCAGATATTATCTTCTTGCTCGAGGAGCCAAATATCAGTGAAATTAGGATGTCTTTCCAGTGTAAGGTTTATACTGGAATTGGAGTTTCGGCATTATTAGAATAAATATCAGGCTTTTTTTTTTTTTTTTAGTGAAGCATAGTCCAGCAAGAATGCCGGGACATAACTGTGCAGTATAGGAATAGAGGACTTTAGAGTAATATAGGAAATATAATGAGCTGGAACCTGGTTTAGATTATAAGCCAAAACCAAACTGTGGATTATAATGGCTTAAAATGTATCTTTTTTTTTTTTTTGGGTCTTTTAATAGGGCATAACAAAATAGAAGATAAATTAAGCTCCTGTTCTTTAGGGTAATGATTTAATGGAGCATCATCTTGGTAACTAAGAAACTTCAAAAGATCATCTAGAGTTCTCTTAGCTAGAACTTCTAAACTTTAATCATCATTACTAGGCGTGGAACAAATGTGCTAGTAGGTAGGTTTTAAGACTAGAGTTTTGCTACAAATAGAACAGAGTTTTAGTATTTGATAAAAAGGAGTTTTAAATAATTAGGAGCAAATTTTAATAGGTGTTATGTAAGTTTGAGGTTAAATGAAATTGAATAAGTAGAAGATAGGTTAATTAAAGAAGAGATTTGATTTAAAAAATATGGTCAGATTTAGAGCTAAGAACTACTCTGGGTTTGAATTTGGGAATTAGGTAACATAGAGAAAATAGGTTTAGGGGTTCAAATTGGGAATAGATTGAATGAGATTAGGGATAAGTTTATGGTTAGAAATAGATTTAGGTACCATAAGTTGGGTTAGGGTTAGGTAGAATAAAATTAAATATAAAATGTGTTTTAAGATAAAATTAGGAGATTGGATAATTAAAGTTATAGTACTAAAAATATTTAAAACGTCTTCCAATTATTGTCAGACATATAACTCTTAGTTTCTTTGGGTTTAATAGTAAGAATAGATAGAGTGAATTGGGTTTAAAATAAAAGGAATAGAAGGGATAAATAGAATAAATTCGGGTTTATGTTAGAAATAGGGTTGGGTTTTGAGTTAGATAGAATGAATGGGATTGAAAATGGATTTCGGCGGGCTTCAAGCCCCTATAATAAACAATCTGTTAGATGCGTGGCTAGTGACTGTCTGGAAAAGACTCATGACTGGCAATACCTTGTGGGCTTTATTTCAGAGAGATACTATAACCTGTTTATTAAGAAATAAAAGAAACATTGAAGTGGTCACAGCATTAAAAGAGAATCTCATAAAACTGAAAACATGGCTGGACAAGTGGAAGCCCTATTTAAAAGCTTGGAGGAAGGTGACCGGCACAATCCTTGCAAGCTCAAGCTGGCTATGGGAAGACTCAATAATTCAAATAGGACAATGGACAGGGGCACAAATTACAGTTAAAAGGATAGTAAACCTTTTGAGAGATGCGATTACAATCCGCAATAATGAGGTAGAATCGTCCGGGGAAAAGGCTATTTGGCTTCACCAAAAGGAGATGCTTAATAATAAAAAAGATATAATGTGGAGGTTATACCACAAATCTCTACCCCTCGGATACAGAATCAGACATATTAATGAAAACGAAACTGGAGACTGCCCATGGTGCCCGGAGAGAAGACAAAACATTGAGCATTTTGCGGTAGAATGCAGAATAGGCAAAGAAATATGGCTTGTGGCCTACAAGTTCATTTGACTGGAAGGGATACAACCACTCTCAAAAATCGAAGAAGTCTTCACACCTACGACCAACATAGAAAGAAGAGATATGGAGGCCATAATATGGATGAATACAATCGTTATATATGAGCTTTGGTGTATATACACCTCCGAAAAGAAACACTGTCGAATGAAGCGGCTACTGCGAGGGCAACGTCATGGATAAGAAAGGAAGTCTCCAATCTACAAAGTCATCTGGGAAAAAGCTCTAAGAGAAGAGCAAAAAGGTTTAAATGTTAGAAATTTAGTGTATATAGGTAACATAGACAAAATTATATCGCATGTACATAGGTTAATTTTGCACATTTTTTGTCAATAAAAAGTGCGCCACTTGCGCCCAGGGGGTATATAACCCATCCTGGTTTTAAAAAAAAAAAAAAAAATGGATTTCGGTTATTTGAATATAGGGTAGTTCAGAATGAGGATTTAGAATTGGGTTTAAGATATCATGTATGTGTATTGAATATAAGTAAATAAATGTTTACACATATATATATGCTAAGAACTGAAAATTGGTTATAAGTTCTTTGCTTCGTTTTAGTTATGTGATATGGTACTTTATTTTAAAGATTTGGGCAGGTGCCAAATTTAAGCACTTTTGGAATATGTTTTTTCACAGTTAAGAAAACTATAGATATTTCTTACTAAAGAGTACGTAGTAGAACTTTCCTAGCTCTAGTATTCAAAGAGTATGTGATAAAATCTTCCTAGCTTCGATAGTATCATATAGAAGTTTCTTCTGAGTTTGTATTTTATAAGGTTGGGATTACTTATGCCTACACTTTGGCTTGTGGGTAATTCGCACTTAACACTCTTGGTTAAGGTTTGCAGTAAGCTGCAAGCTATGGGTCCTTATGCCTACACTTTGGCTTGTGGGGTACCTGTCTAAGGGATCTAACCTTGGGGTTGCAGTAAGCTGTGAGCTCTGGTTGCTACGAAAGCAAAGGCTTCAAGTGGCCCTTCTATTAAATCTCCTTCAATTTAATAGGACTTTCTAGTTGCTATGAAAGCAGAGGCTTCAAGTGTGCCTTTCTGTACAAGTCTTTTTCAACTTGACAAGACTTCCAAGCTTTAGTAATAGGCATTCATAAATAAATAAAATAATTTTTAGCAATAGAAGAGGATATCCAAATTAATGGGTCCAATATTTTCAAGCTTCTTGGAAGATTTTCCATAATTCCAAAGGAGACTTTTTAGATTTTTGGTGGAGACTTTTAGAATTTCTGAGGAGACCTTTTAGATTTCTGGTGAAGACTTTTTAGCTTTCTGCCAGAAGGCACCAAAATATTACAAGTGGGGTAGCCTTCTTAATTTACCACCTGCAACATAGCACATAGCGACAAAGATCTCTAATACAACAGAGTGAGATATAAAGTGATGTGGAAGTAGAATGTTTTCTTACTAGGGCAGTTCGGTATATTCATTAGAAGCATAGAAACATGGTTTACTTTAGGGCAAAGATATATTTATTTATTTATAATACAATACCTAGATACAAAGCTATCTATAGATATCTATTCCCTAAAATTCTAATATTTTAGAACATTGCAGAGAACAAATCCTCTAGTACAAGAAGGATAAAAACCAGAGTTTATATAGCTTTTACAACACATATAAAAGATATAAAAAGTACTAAATGTATAAAAGGTATAAAAGGTACAAAAGGTACAAAAGGTATAAAATGTATAAAAGGTATAAAATGTATAAAATGTACAAAAGGTATAAAAGGTACAAAAGGTATAAAAGATACAAAATATATTATCTAGCTAACTGATAGTCCGTTTGTTATATATTGTAGCTTGTTTTGATCATTACAATCTTTTGGATCTGAGGTGTGGCGGCTTAGTGAAGTGGTCAAGTCGTCACCCTCTCCAAGTAGCAGGTCTAGGGTTCAAATCCCACGGA